CATGTAGAAAACTTGTTTTCCATAACTGATATTGATCGCGAACTATATCGAAATCAATATTTAATGTTAACGGTGCATTTTGTTTTGTAAATAATATAAGATCATCCAATTCTTTGACTCCATATTGCGGATTTAACTTTGGATCCGAAGTAAAAAGCTGGGCAGGGTCCAGGCAGTTTCTCATTGATATTACTACAGATGGTGTTTCGGCAAATCTTTGTTTGATCGATTTAATAAAATCTTCACACAGTAATGCCGAGCGTGTTCTTATTTTTTCGGTTGGGTCTTCCAAACCATATTCTGAACGACCTCTTGTAATTGGCCTTTCTTTAAAAATCCCCAGTTTTAGATCTTCATAATACATTTCTAAATACGTATTATCAATATTTTCTTTTTCAACATCATTTCTGTCATTGTTACTCTCTGGTTCAATTCCATCATTATCAGGAAATATTGGTGATTCGCTATCGAATGCCATTGTACCACCGCATGCATCATTATCATCGTTAATGCTGTTCATTTCTTGAGTAACATTGATTCGTTTGGTAATGAGATCATGATTTCAGTAGTATTGAACTACCACCCATGTTGTCTTTTCGTAAGTGAATCGTGATGAGTCAGTTTTCTTAAATGGCAACTCAAACGTGTGACGACGGAATGTTCCACTTCCAGAAAACACCAGATTGAAGAATGAGACGAGCATTTCAATAGAAGAGATCAGTGAGAGATAACAACATAACAAACATTCTGGTTTTCTTAAATGGCTAACTTGGTCATAATGAGATGAGCTGTGACGGTCCGATTAGCCCGTTACCAAAACGACCAAGCCAAAAAAACCTCATGGGTAATCACAGGTATAGTATTGAAAGTTGGCTGGTGACAAGAAGGAATAAGATACAGCTTTTTGAAAAAATCGCAGAACAGAAATGTGTTTTTCGACCTGATGTTTTCTGGAAAATATATGTCCGAAATAGGGATTTGAAAAAATGAAAGACTCAATTTCTGTTCTTCCGGAAAATGAAAAAATCAGTTTTCCAAATTTTCCATTGCGAAGCTGAGATAGACATTTCCTCCAATAAAACTGATGGTCGAGGTCGCTCATACTCATTTTCTTATTCCCCATAGTCGAATGTCTACTCCATATCATTTTGATCCAATCAAGTTCTGCTCTACTGGTTTGTGTGTTGCGGACATACAAACATACAGGCATTTTAACTCGATTAGACCCTTTCCTTTACAGCCAAGGGAATATTGGAATGGAACGATACAATAACACTCATATCACTTAGCAATCATAACAGCTTGCTTGGTCATAATGAGATCATGATTTCAGTAGTATTGAACTACCACCCATGTTGTCTTTTCGTAAGTGAATCGTGATGAATCAGTTTTCTTTAATGGCAACTCAAACGTGTAACGACGGAATGTTCTACTTCCAGAAAACACCAGATTGAAGAATGAGACGAGCATTTCAATAGAAGAGATCAGTGAGAGATAATAACATAACAAACAGAAAAAGAATTGAAATTCCAAAAAAGTGCAAGTTCAGTTTGCTGGTTTTCAAGAAAAGGTCAGTTACAGGTCACGTTGCCAGAAGTGTGACCATTACCATTAGAAAAGTG